GATGCAAGACCTACACCTGAAGTGATTAACTGTTGTCTGTTTAGCACACATCACGGTTTCAGTAAAGAAATTTCAAAAGATAACTACAGTTCTGTGGAGGCTGATGATGCCTTATGCACTAGAACACCTGGTATGGAGGTAATGGGACTATTTCAGTAGGGAATGAGGGTTGACACAGGCTACAGAGAGGCCAAGAGTGCAGAGTTGGACCACTGGAGAAGCAGCACGGGCTAGTGAACCTGGGGGTAGTCAACCAAGTGTGGTGGGCCTTTGTATTGGAGGGAGGTAGAGGGGAGAGGGGGGAGGGGACAGAGGGGGATAGGGATCATTCGCATAGGGCAGGCACTAGTGGAGCACTAATACACCCTTGTCCAAGGGATGTCATGTCTGTAACCTGGAAAGGCACTATTGGAGGGGTAATAAATTTGGGGCCTAGCGAAGTTCTGTCCACGATGAAGGAAAGCATGCCGTGTTAAGCGCACCAAGAGGGAAGTGTGACTATCTGGGAAGCTTTTGTATGAGGTGTTTGCATCAAAGCATCTAGGGATTCAATCCTGCTCTGGTGTGAGGTAATTGACACAAGAGAAAGCTTTTTTTGTTGTACAGCTCTCCCTGAAACACACATTATATACGTATCAACCATTGCCACCTCTCCAGTCTTCAAGGTGAAATGAATGCTGCTGCCAAGAGTTCCACAAGCCATTGAAGTGTAAACTGATGGCTCTTAATAGGAGACAAAAGAGTAAGGAAGGAAGGATTGAACAACCAGCTACTATGGAGCTGTTGCTGACAGCATAGACTGTCTCATAGTTATATAGTATTTGAGGTTGACTAAAGACACAGGTCCATCAAGTTCAACCTATTGTGTGTATGTTTTGGATTCTGCATGTGTATGCGTGTGTACGAGTCCCCGTGTGATCTTATTTTTTTTAAGGGAAATTGTCCAAATGCATTTTGAATGATTCAACACTCTCAGCTGATACCACTGCTTGTGGCAGAGAGTTCCAGACCCTAACCGCTCTAACTGAGAAGAACCCCCTACGCCCCATTTGGTTAAATCTTTTCTCCACCAATTTTAGGTGGTGGTCTCTGGTCTTTGTTAAGGAGTTTACCGTAAAAAGTTGATTGCTGATGTTGCTATCACCATTGAACATCTTGTACATCAAAATCATGTCCCCCCTTAACCTCCCTGGCATTTTCAGTACCATAAACGGTAACCCTGAGCCACACTCGGGATTACAGTTTAGCATTACTTACCTTGCCCCTCGAGCCACGCTGTGTCCTCCGGCCGATGCTGGCGTCTGTCTTCCGGGTTCCATCCCTTGCGAGCGTCCGCGTTGCAAGGGGGCGGAACCGGCGGGAAATAAAATAAATAAATAAAATAGAACAAGAAAAAGAAAAAGAAAAAAAAAAAAAAAAAAAAGGAAATAATCAGACCGCCAGGGAGGTTAATCTCCACACCTCCAGCGTGAACATATTTAAAGTGACATTAAACCCTCAGATTTTTTAACATAAAACAATAGTGTAATGTGTGCCTTACTGTAATCCATGGTTGTTTCCCTTCTCTTAGCTGCTCTTCCTTTTAAATATGCATCTGTTCTCATGCTTGGAGAGAACTTCCCTTTTCAGCTCAGGGCCTCTTCCTGTAGTGCTGGCTCAGGTTACAGCCTATACACAGACACCGTGTGAGACAAGGCAGTCTGCTGAAAAGGGAAGTTCTCTCCAAGCATGAGAACAGATACATATTTAAAAGGAAGAGCATCAAAGAGAAGGGAAACAACCATGGATTACAGTAAGGCACACATTACAGTATTGTTTTATGTTAAAAAATCTGAGGGCTTAATGTCACTTTAAGTTTTGTAACCTTGTCTCATAGCTTTGGTCCTCCATCCATTGGTCTCATCTGTTGTGCTGCCTTTGAGGACTCTCCCACTGTGGGAATTGCTCATTCATGAAATGGAATTGTATGGATGTGGGCTGAGCTACAAGGGAGGAGCCAAGTTCAATGCAGTAAGCAGCCATGTTCTTTAAAGGAAGCAGCGGATTAGCTTAGCAGACAAAGCACACAGCAGTGTGCGGGAAATCGAGAGAACAGCACTCGCCCCATTACCACTAGAGGGGGCTTACCCCAACGGCTGGTCTGTCCTAAAAAATACGAACGGACCTTTGGAGACTACAAGGATTTTTAGGGAATGCTTGACTCCTTGCAAGAATGGGCACAAGGTATAACAGCATGAATGCCTATTTTTAAAACCTGCTTAGCTCAGGTTTATGGCATGGGGTTTTAAGACAGTATAGGCAATTTTACATTAAAAGGTTAACTAACCCTTTAAATCAGACACATTGTGCAGTGGGATTTTGGGAAGCAACTCAATATAAAATGTATGCAATGAGGCACAGGCCTTTTTATTCTTGAGCCAACTATGCTGCCTACCCAACAAATGGATGTAATGGTTCCCACGGGGTTTTTCCCCATTGGAGACCCTGGATTTGTCCAACCTTGCATTAACTACATACAAATACCTTCATCCAGAATTTGTACAAACACTATTCTAAATTTTAACAGCAGATGTCAATACTATAACAAGGCTTTAAAAAAAGGTACCAACCTGCCTGACAACCATCTTTAGTCGAATCTTACAGGTTTCAAAGAAAATTATTACAAAGGTATCATGAATTAATGTTAACAGGAGACATACTTTTGATGGAGGTTCGGTTAGCCACACTGAACACCGGGTCTTTAACGCTCTTATTCCAAGGCAGACTTAAAGCAACAACACCCCTTTCATGGACTTTAATTTGAGAGACCGTTCCTTGCCTGCAAAAGGTTCCAATAGTGATGGGTAAGTCACTTGAGAAAGTACTGATCTTGAAATTTGATCGGTCCGGGCAATTGTCTGATGGATGGATCTGTTGTAGCCATGGATTAGGGAAGCCAAGTACAAGACCATTACTCCGGAGTGCTGATATGTGCCAAAAAAAGGTCCGATTTAAGCCAATTAAACTTGAAGGTAGCAGACTTACATTTAAAGGACAAGCACCATAAGCACAATCTAGGGGAAAAAAATATGTAGTCTCATTAATATTCAACTTCTATCATATTCTAAACAAGCAGTAATAGCACTTTAAAGCATGCCCCATTTACCTCTGTAGCTATAGGCATTGTTTAGAAATTGGTCTTCAAATTTCACAACATAGGCACTGGAATCCCAGCTATTTTCTAGAGCTAGCAGATCTCTGCAGACTACCAACTGAGACCTGAGCCTTGTTGGGGGTAGAGCCAGAGCTCTTTAATCAGCAGGATGCATGAGCTTTTCTGATTGCAGAGCTATAATAGGTCTGACTTGGCAGGCGGCATGTTGGACTTCTGCACAGAGACTACTGCTTCCACACAGCAAAGGTGCCCACTTTGTAACTCCTGGCAGTAAGGCCAGACCTTTCTACTCAAACAAACTGTAAGCTATTAAACACCCTTTATTTGTACGCACTTATGTGTTTAGAGGATTTAAAGGAAGAGTTAAATTTTGATTTAAATTGCAGGGCTACCTGATTTGTAGTGGTAAAGGAGGGTGTATGGGACCTTTACCACTGAAAGGTTTCTATAAAGCCACTCCATCAGGATAACAGTCTTATGTGCTTTTATTAGGCATATAAACACATGGGCATTGTTAATGCTTATCTGAAGTACATCAAAATCAGCACACATTTATAGGGTATTTAACAAGATTACAATGAAATCCCCTGAAACCCTTAAAATGTATCATTCAGCTCCAGTCTGAGAACACAGATCTTAAATCCTTCCAAAAGCATACTTAAATGGAATGTGTAAGGGCAGAAATATAGAGCTACCAGTGCTGTTTTTTTTTCTGAAAGGTCCAGGGCTGTCATCAAGAGAATATGAAGGCTGTAATTGCCGACAACTCTTCCTAAAACTGCTGGTTGCTTGGCTGTTAGGCTAATAAAAAAACGAATATATTCTGTGTCACCAAATAGAAAAAAAAGCAGAGATTAGTTCTGAAATCACTATATTCGATCATCAGACGATCAGCAATGGTAGCCTCCATATTTCTCATATAGTCAACACTCCCAGTCTAGAAGTGAGGGGTGCTTTAGGACCTGCTCGAAGCTTGTTAAATGCTTTCTGAACTTGGGACTCTTCAGACGATACCTAACAAGCTAATATTAAAGCCCAAATTAACTTTGTTTAATTCAGCTTAATACATTCTATTTGCATTGAAAACGTTAAAACTAAAAAGGCCCAACACAGGCCCAAAGCAATAACAAGTGATATTACATTGTTTTCAATGGACCCAGTTCACATCGATGCACTGCATTGGTGTACAAATGGGCAAAAATGGAACATGCTGCACTTAACACACTGCAGCACAGCAACCCAATGCAACGTTGTAAAAAAAAACCCCACAACTGCGCAAGTCAACGCAAGTCTGTTAAACGTGTGTTCAATGCAACAATCATGGTGTAAAGCCAGCCTTCCAGCTTATTTTCCTGAGAAAGAGCAAGAAAAAATTTCCCTCTGACAGCATGCAGAAAGACCCTTGTCCTCTGGGTAGAAGCAGTGGTCTCTCTGCAGAGGTAAAATCAGAGCTAGAGCTCTCCAATCAGCAATGAGCATGCATTTAGATTGCTTCCACACAGAGAGTAAGGGTCCTTCATGCTGGCAGGGGGACAGGCTTTTCTACTCAAGACTATGGCTGCTTACTAAAGAAAACAAACTAAGACTTTGCACACCTTTTATTTTGATGTGTCTGGAATATACAGGGAGGAATTTATCGAAACTGGAGCAGCTGCCCATGGCAACCAATCAGCTTCTCTCTTCAGTTTGTTCAGTTAAGATTTGAAAATGAAAGGGTGACGCTGATTGGTTGCTATGCACAGCTGCTCCAGATTTTGATAAATTGCCCTCACTGTATTTAGCCAATGTAAAGTGAATGTTCAATGTGTTTAACCCTTTTGCTGCCACCACTGTATGGTATACAGAGGTAGTAGCACGGGTTTTTAAACACAATCCTGGACACCGATAGACATACCATCGCTGCAGCGAAGGAGGAGGAGACAGGCTTTTTTTTTTTCAAATTCTTTATTTATGAACAAAGAGGGGGGATATAGAGAATATGCACAGAGTATATGGGATACACGGCCGCACATTAAACCAAGTCAAAAGAAAACCTGACGGTTAATGGTATGACACAGAAAATTGAGGACATCTCAAACATTATAAGAGCCTATTAACTTATACATTGAATATGACGAGAACAATTCGGGTCAGGTTGGGCTCTAGGAGGAGACAGGCTTGAGGGAGCACTGTCACAGCTCTGCATCCGTGAGTATAACGTTTTGCTTTTTTAACTTAGGCAAAAATGAACACTTAACCCCTGTAGTGGTAGCCCCACTGCATAGAAGTGCCCTACATAGAACTAATCCCACTCAATATCTATCATTAGGTTTCTTGACTTAGAGCACAGAATCTGAACAGTAAACTTACCAATGGTCCTGTTGATTTCCATAACATAGTACGTCTCGGGGGTTTTACAACCGAAGTCATAATTCACAGGGCTCCCAGGGCGAATAATCAGACTTGACTTGTCACACTTTTTATCAACGCAGAGAGGGCAGGGAGGTGGTGTAGTAATAATAACATTTTTGATACTGATTATTGTGTTGTCTTTTGCTTGTAATGAGATGGTGAAGGATTCTGTAAAGAGAACAGTACACCTTTTTATTAATAAACAAAATACGTATTTAAAGTGGATCTCTAGGCAAAACATTCTTAGTTCTGGATACAGTGCGGAAGGGGGAGAGCCTCTGTCAAGTTTTTATTGCCATCCCCAGGACAGGAAGTTAACCTTTTTATCCCATAGTCATCTTTAGGGGCAAGGGAGGACATATACTGACCTCCTCCCGTGACCCAAAGATCAGTATATAGCGAGCTACAGCTCCGGTATACTGAGACCGCCTCCGCCAGACAATACTGTCGAGATCCACCCAGCTAGCTGATTGACAGCTGGCTCTGCCTGCCCCTCCCCATCCATTCCTCCAGTCAGTGTTTTAGGACTGGAGAGGGGAGGAGGGAATCCCTGCAGTGAGCGATGACTGACAGTCACGGCTCTCTGCAGGGATAGGATAGGGAAGTGAGCGACGGTATGAGTTCGCCGACTTCCCGATTTATAGAGCCGACATGTAACAGTTTCAAATGTCACACGTCGGCTCTAACTATGAGGAAACAAACAAACAAAAGCAATAAAAGCTAAGCATACACTTTTCACATTATTTTAAAACCACATTTCCTCATTTTGCTGCTTTCTCATCACAAAGCCTAACAAATTTACAGTCTAGTATAACATATATGTATTGTATGTTTGATTTAAAAAAACTACATTTTTATACTGTATTTGTGTAGTGAAAGTTTAGAAAGAAAAAAAACATTTGTGGGGAGTTTTGGGCTTGTTCACACCAAGCGCGTTCCAGGAGCAGAGCAGTTACAGACCAGATCAAAACTGCGTCCAATGTATTCCAATGGTATTTTGGGCTCTAGTTCACACCACAGCGTTCAGTTCCAGAGCATGCCAAAAAACTGCAACAAGCCCGATTTTACCTGCTCTGGAACGCATGCAAACGCCCTAAAAGCCCATTTTAAACAAACTGCCCGTTCCGGACCGTTTTTTTTAACCAAAAACAGCCCAGAACGCATCAAAAACGAGGCAAAAAGTGCAGTATAACACACTGCACTGCATGTGCAGAAACTCATGCAGATCTGGTCTGCATTTGGTGTGAACAAGCCCTTAGGAGGTCAGAGTAGTTTCAGCTGGCAATGCCAAGGCTTTTTTATTTCCATTGCAGACCTATCCCTTTTTTTTTTAGAGAGCTGGCTAAAGGTATCACATCTGACATTTAAAAAAAAACCAAAACCAAGCTAGAGAACAAAGGAAATGTTATTACGGTACACAAGGCAGAGTGTTTAAAAGGACCTGTGTAACAAAGAAAACGGCCAGACTTTTTTTACAATAACATTTACATAAACCGCAGATAACCAACATCAATATACTAATCACACCTTGCATTAATGGCGTATTACTACTTTAGCCAACAAAGATGAAGACAATCAGCATATGAAAAATTATCACATCTGTCAGCCTGGGCTGGGCCTAGAGTAAAAATGGCTGGAGACAGCTCCTGCGCTTAAGGTGCCCATACACTGTGTGATTATCGTACGATCGTGGGAAATCCCGCGATCGTACCATAATCGCAAAGTGTATGGAAGGCGTTTCGACCCTTTCTACTGTGCGGTCGCACGTCTTTTGTCTAATGAGCACGTTTAAAACCTGCCGAAAATCGTACGATTTTCGGCTGGTTCGTGGCACACTGCCCGTTCAGCATTGCGGTCATCGCAAGTACGATCTGCCTGTCCAAGATGGGCAGATCGTACGTTTTCTTAATTACTTTACAACCTTGCAAGACAAAAGTCTTGCGAGGGTTGTAAAGTGTATGGCCACCTTTATACTCGCACCTACTTCTCCTACCAGCATTTAATAGCAGCTGTTCCTCACTCTAAAGCTGGCCATACACCTATAGATTTTCTGCAGATTTTCTTTGGTCAGTTGGAAAAAGTGCAACAGATTCCTCCATCTACGCTAAACTGTGTGGATGGAGGAATCTCCCTGTACAGCCACCCAGATCACTTGTACTAGTCCTCTATTGTGCCAAAACGACCCTCCTCCACCATGGTATTTTGGGTTCCCCGCTCCTCCGGGGGGCCCAGGACCACGGCACAGTGTCAGGATGGAGATCGGGGAAAAAAAAGAAGTTTAAAGCCAACCCTGCTACCCGTCAAACAAATGACCATGTGTGCTTAAGCCATGCACATATGTAAACGGGGAGGGGAGTTCCAAGAATATATGTATCTCACTGTGCCTGGGAGTACACACCAGCAGCTGTGCGTTGTATTGCAGCTGCTGATTTGAATGCAGTCTAAATGGCGGGCCTTGGTACGGACACGAACTGACTGACCTTTGTGTCCAGACCTTGGCTCGATAAAAATGTTACTCACCGGACCTCCTTGTATTTTAATTCACTACCTCTGCAATACACCTTATCAAAATGCGCTGGGATGAATAGAACTTTGTGAAATTTCAAGAAAATGCATAAAACCCCCCCCCCAAAAAAACAAGTGCAATGTGCCGAAATCAGTGCATTGCACTGCTTCCTAACAGTGCGCACCACTGTCTGTACAATAGTATGCACTGCTGATGTGCCCCGAATTCTCCTGAAGTCTGCCCTTGGATTGCATATTTAAAATTTAAAGCCGAAGACCGCCCATACGCTTAAAATGTCTTACAGTGGGTGGCCCTTTTGGCTCAACAAAAGGCGATTACTATGCTGAAGGAGCCCGTTTGAAAAGTTTTAGCCAGATTTCAAATGGGTAGATCTCCCGGCGTGAGTATTGTGTTCTGATAGTCAGCACCCGCCGCTGACAGAGTACATGAACAGTGACAGCAGCGATCGGCTGCTGATCACCCATCTGGGCTGCTAAGCTGGCTGAAAGAAAATGGTCTTTTAGTTTATGACCAGCTTCACTCCAAAATGATTAAGTTAGTTGTAAATAGACTGTGGGAAGACTTAAATGCTGCCTGGTCTTAAATTCCTGTCTGACACCACTGAGGAGATTTTCTCTCACTTCCATTCTCTGACACATGTACAAGAAACGGGAGGTGCAGTTCTCCAGAACAGGCAGGTACAGACACAGCGTCCTTCCTAGGGTATTTTATTTCTTGCTCTGCCTTTCCAAGGCTCATCTTGCTCCTCTTTAGGTCTGGGGTTGCTGCAGGGGAACGAGGATGAAGACAGAAGGAGTTGGGTTTTTTTTGGACCACTTGGCTACTTTTTCATCCCACCTAGCCAGGAAAAAATCTGGAGGGATTTCCCCTCCTTTCCAGTCATGACAAAAGTAAAGATGTAAATTAATCACCCACTATGTGAAACTATAAACATTTCCCACAGCAATATAATATGGTGATATAAGGTTACCTTTACATGAACTTTTATTTTTAAATAATTATTCATTAAAAAAACAGTTTGCCACTATAATAAGTTGGTTATTGTAATAATAACATGAACCTCTACAATACAATCACTGTAAAGGAGAAGTGCACTCTGTATAACATTTCCTACCTCTACTCAAATACATACATTCTTAATAGATTATACTGACAACTGATCATACTGACTGTACAGCCGCTCAACATGTGCAAAATGAGTGCCCTGCTAATGTGGATGAGGGAGACATCACTCCTTCACTAATGGAAACCCTGCAGAATGTCACGACTAGTGAGGGAACAATGTGTGGAAGTAGGTGAGTATTTGCTCTGCTTAGTGATCGTGTTGGATAGCCAAGTCTGCCATGGGCCTTACAATCAGGTTTCCTGTAGTGAAGCATGGCAAGAAAAAAAAACGAAGCCCTGAGGCATCTGCACTGCTCTTAACTGGAATGTATGCATTATTAATAAAGTACAAAAAACGTTTTTGTTTGTGGGGAGGAAAAGAAGGGTGATATGTCAGTACATTCACAGTGCTCATAGCCTCAAAGACAAGCCACAGTGCCAACACATTCTGCCAGCACTTGCTAGAACATGTCTGCCCCTACCAAGAAAGCTGAAATGGCATTTCAGACCAAACTACTATTTCAGCAAAATTAAGTGACAAATTGAAGTACCGATATGTAAAACATAAAACCAAGGTTTGACAACTTAATGCATGAGCCTACGGGTTCAATCTGTATGAAGAAAATGTTAAACCAAACCTGTTCAGGCTTCCAGTGCTGACCACCTTCTTAAAACATGCTAGCTGCTTGGCCATCCGTGACTAGAATAAGTCCTAAATAACTGACCTGTAACAAGCAAGTGAAGTCGGAACTCTCAATTTGCATATTGGTTCCAGACGTAGAAAGTTTTGAAGCCACTGGATCAGCACACAGGCCGGGCAAGTAGCATTTTAATAAGATGTTTGCAATGGCACCCTCTAGATCAGGGGGTCTCAGACTCAAACCCCCCAGGGGCCACTCGACAAATTTTTTTCACCCATGGGGGCCGCTTGCCAAATTTCATACTTCAAAATAAAAAGTAAAAAACTATACACATTATGGTACTACGGACACTAATACACACACAATAAGGCCCTATTCATATCTGTAAGTTTAGGTGCAATTAAGGATTCCTGCATCAGGAACTTGCATTTTCCTGCAGCAGGAATCCCTAATCTGGCATTTACAAGCGGTAGCTGTCATCCATTCAAGTTAATGATCAGGTGACAACTGCTGCATGTAAAACGCCTGCATGCCACAGGTATGCGATATGACTACATGCGGTTAAAAAATACTCTCCTGTTAGAAAAGTGATGGTGATTGATTCCTAACCACATGTAATAATATCACGTACCATTACATGCGGCATGCAGGCGTTTACATGCAGCTGCTGTCACCTGATCATTGCAATGCAATTGGCCTGTGTTTCGGTACTTTGAGACCACTGCTCTAGATTCTCTGTCTGGCACTCTCTAGATCAGGGGTAGGCAACCTCGGCACTCCAGCTGTTGTGGAACTACCAGTCCCATGAGGCATTGCAAGACTGACAGCCACAGACATGACTCCCAGAGGCATCATGGGATATGTAGTTTCACTGCAGCTGGGGTGCCAAGATTGCT